AATAGTAGAAAAACTATTGGGAAACATTTATGTAGATGGCTTTAATGAAGAAATAATGTTAAATTTAAATAACAAATCGCAATTAGCCAAGCAGCTAGATGAATTATATACGCAACTTTTCAAACCATGAAAGTCAACAAATCTAGGTAAATCTTCAAACAAATAAGAAGTTGTTATTAAAAAAGTAGGTACTTTAATATTCAAAATGCTTCACACTGAAGTTGGAAAGAATCCATTACAAATAGCATAAGAATCACAAACTCACAAGAAGCAAAGCTGGAAGTCCTAAAAGCTTGTCATTGTAGCGCAATAATTTCCACAATTCATAAAGGTTTTTGTCCTCTAATATTTAACAGGACGGTTAGGAGCCTTCATGTTAACCAAAAAAATATCTCTGCCTGTCTGCCTTCTCTGCACCTTTTGATTGAAACATTACTCCATGTAATTGCAAGCAGGCCAGAACATGGCACAGAGAAAGCAACAGGGAAAAATCGGTAGACTGTTAGAAAAGTCACTTCAGTAAAAATCTCCGTAAACTGAAAACAGCAAAAATTCTCAAAAAACGCACAAAAATGAACCAGATTAGGGACATGGTTTGGCAAAAATCTAAAAAAAATCGAAGCATTCTCTATAGGGAACTTACTCGACTTTGGTAGTAGTGGTGGTGGTCCTATGGGGTACACGTCACAAGGGGGCAACGGGAATGCACGAAAAAGGAGAAAAATCAAAATGAAAAAATGGACTATATACAAAAAAAATAAGTGAAGTGTTTTTGTGTACTTTTGGATTTTTTCCATTTTCTACTCGTAGTTGAGTTTAGTTGTGTTTGTTTATACGTTTAGTCGCTTGTTTAGAAGACTTTTATTTGGAAAAACATTAAGTATCGGATTTTTCCAATTCAATGGGATGATAAATATTATTGGCAAAAGGTTTTCTAAATTAAATTTTTAGTTTTATTATTTTTGGAAATTATGTGTGTTGTGCAAAATATTTTGCATCAGTTTTACTACATTTGATATCCAATAATTATGATAAAGGAAATAATAAGTTTTAAAATAATAAGTTGGTGATACAATTATATTTTGATCAGGTGTTTTTGGTTAATTTTGAAGGAATTTTGGAAGAAATCACCTTTAATCAGACGTTCAAAGTTTATGTTTTGAATCAAAAAATTGCTCTAAAAATCGGTTATGGTTAACAATCTTGGTTACATTAATTAAAACTTTTTAAGTGATTTATATGAGAAACTAGCTCCAGGAACACCAATATTTAAATATTTTGAGTCATGCACTAATGTTAGTAATGGTAAATAACTATCTTTTGGTATATGAAATTTTGTATTTAATTTAAACTTAAATAAAATAATTTGCTTTGTAATCGGCAAATTAATAAACTGATTGTTGTTTATACCAATTTACTGAAAAAATTATTTCTCAATTAGTGATAACATAAAAAAAATGAAAAAAGTTAACATTGTGTTAAAACATGTAGGTACAGGTGAGTTATAGTTGATTAGGTATAAAAAGAGCACTCGGTGTAGTTTAGAACAAAAGTGTGAGTGAAACAAAACATTGATTACATTGTTTATGTAAAAAAAGTTTTAATTTTGTAAGTATTTTGGTTGTGTGGGTTTGTTATCACAGAAAAAGAAACACTGATGTTGGATGGTGGGTTGCACACTAGCCTACAGTGGGGTGGGAAACACATACGGTCTGCCTACAGTACTTTTCTACACTATACGTTCTAGAGATACAGGGGGTGATGTAGAAATAGTTTCTGTACAGGGGGAACGTAAAAAACTTACGTTTTTCTGTAAAGAGAAAATATTAAAGTATTACTATGAAGAGTTAACAGTATAATGGTTTGCTTTGGTTCATGGATGTATCTATGCCAATTGGTAATTGAAAATTTCGGTTAAACTAACTAAATGCTTCATTGTGATATTATTCAATATTGCTGATGAAGCAGTTAGAAAAGTGATGTGCCAATATTACTGTTGTTGTGGCGAAAACTGGAAGTATAATTTCGAGTAACATCTTTTTTGGTTTTTCCTTTTTTTCTACTTACGTCTCAATGACTTCCTCTTCCTCCTCCTCTTCTTCGCTGTAAAGAAAGAATAAATGATAGAATTATCTTGTGGTTCTACTCAATTTAGTGTTTAAATTTTCATTTGTGAGTAAGATATGGTACTTACGAGTAAACTTCTTCGTCGTCGGACATGACTGAAGGGGATCAAAACCTCTGGAAAAAAATTGAAGATTTAATTCGAATTTTATACCGCCGAATAACTAAGTATCTAGTTACTTATACTATAATTAATAAAATGACGATCAATTCAACTCATTGCGTTTTGTGGAGGTTCAGCTGATTCCCTTTACATAATATTTAAGGAAAGCCAATCCTGAAAGATGAAATTCAAACCTCCTCGACTCGGACTGTATTTGGCAACATCTATAGAGCTTTCAGAATATTTCAGTTATTTTCAGAACCGCTGAGCAGCAAGCTGTTTTGTGTTCTAAAAATAACGGACGTTTAACATAAACTGCTGACGACTATTTTGTAGCCAGTCGACGAAACTAGAATGAAGTTGTAAATGGCAATCTATGTCTATTTGCGAGCATGCTCTTGATTTGTGAACCTGCCGATCGAGATTAGAAACAGTAGAAGTTTGATACAAAAAATACACTAGGCGCTCTATCCTCAAATTATGTCGGCACTATTTTGAGCATTTTGGTTGAAATGTGAACATTTTTCATGTGGTTTATAAGGGTTCTTATATATTTTGGAAATATCTTCGTTATTTGATTATTTTACAGTTTTTACTAGTTCAATCAGCCCGGAAAAACTGCTTCAATTTCAATACCTTGTGAAACAGTGTATGAAAGCTGCCGTTGTTATAAATAGGTATGCAAGTTGCAAGAGGGAATTTAAAGTCGCTTGAGATATTTGCCACTTTTTGTTAGAATATTTTTTTTATTAGAGTTTCCCCTCACTTCCAATGTTCAGAGACAAAGGAAAAGCCAAACATAGTATGTAAATATTTAAAAAAATCAAAATGTCGCTTTAAAGTGTCCCATGTGTAATTAACTATGAATAAAACTGAGTTTAAGTCTTTAAACTGAAAATATGAACATGCCATTCTCATTCACACATTTGATATTATATTAGTATAAGCACGACAAATATGTTGTACTTTTGTAAAGATTTTGTATTCTTGCTCATGTATTCAGATATACGTAAACAATAGACGGCATTTGCTATTCTTTAAACGTTTTAAAATAACTCTGTTTTTCAAAAAAAATTTTAATCGATTCTAGCATAATAATCATTTGAAAATATGGGTAGAAATATGAACTATAAATAAAGAAGAAACAATGAATCTCAAATAGCAAGTTTTGCTAATCTAAGAAGAAACTTTTCAAATGTGTGGAACTTTAAAACAAATGAAAATGCAGCAAGAATAGTTTGTAACCTTCAGCATCTTGCCAATATATATATTTATAAAATATAAGTTTTTATCGAATTGTTGCGATGATTTCATTTGATTTTTAGAGCACTTAGGGTAGCAAACAATATGGTTTTGTAAATATTTTTAAAAGTTGACAAATTCAATTGCTGATTAATGACTATCTAATATTGCCAATCGAAATGCTTCAGTAACAGTGAGACTGCATGAAATGAAGACTCAAGTGTGAATGAAAAAGTTAAACGTTTTAAACTGAAAATATAAACATGCAATTTTCTTTCAAATATTTTACGTTCTATTTATCCAATCACAATAAAAATATAATATTTAAGCGGTATGGTTTTGTGAGTGTATTTATAGTTTAGTATAGTTAGTCATTTATAAATTTCAAAGCGAAATGCTGCATCATAATTTCTTGTATGAAAAACATACTCCATTGCAAAGTTTAGTATTTTCAGATAACATTAAATTTATACCAGTAAAGGCTTGTATACAAATAATATCAGATTCGATTCCAATTAGTTCGGCTGTAGAGAACATTCTAGTGCTTATTATTTTATTTAATTTTAATAACCGGATACGGTTCCAGCCTCCGGATACCTGTTTGAAATACTTCATACAGTTGGGTAATTGCTTTTCTGTCAGACTATTTAATGAAGGCTTTTCAACTCAATGTTTTCATGTTGTAACTGCCGGCAGGATATTATTAATAGTTCCAAAGCGGAATTGCACAATTGAAAAACAATTTAATAAAACTTTGGTTTCCTATGCAGTCCTGATATTTTGCGGAACGGACTAAGAAACCGACAATCGACAAATGTTGCTTGCCAGGCTGAAATTGAACTTTCATAGTTTTCCCTTTAAGATCTTTTTATTTCAATTAGCTCAGAACGGATAAAATGGTACTAAATTGCGCTCCTAATAGTCACTTCCCATGTACAAATTTTTAATTTCTTTAGAGTCGGGTTTTTTAATTTCTTGTTTCGAGTGTAGTCTGAATTGATGAAAAACTGGATATAATCTAGATAGAACAATATTCTCTCAACAAATATTATTGAAATTTAAGATAAATTGTGAGAAAAAGTGATTTTTCCTAATTGAGTGGAGTGGAAAATCATAGTGTCACATTGTAAGTATCTATTCGATAATTTGCGGGTCATAAATATTCAGATAAACCACAATAGTTTGAATGAAACCGCAGAAAATCTTCCCAGGCGGTTTTATTACTATTTTATTCCACAATTTTTTAGTAACTAGTTAAATTTAAGGCGTCTGAAATTTAAACGGCGAACTTAATTCAACTGCCGAGCTTTTCAGTTTAAGCTCTTTCAGAGTGAAATTTTCCTGGTTGGAAAATGGAAAATTTTATTGCTTTGGATTAAGCTTTCAAAATTTATGAAATCCTGATAGGCGGCGGCACAAACTGAGGAAGGCGGACAACCTGCCCATGTTAAAAATAAAGATACTAAGATAATAAAGATATATTTCTTTAATAAAGATATTCAAGAAGATTATTTTATTAAACGTTAAAAAACCTATTTGTAATTACAGAATGTATCAATGGAGCTTTAATTAATGGATTTATGAAGGTACAATATTTTTAATACAAAAGTCTGCTAAGCTGCGAAACGTAATTTTAATCTTGCATGAAAGGTCCCAAAGGTTGAAAAATCTGTATTAAATATGTAGGTTGTATGTTGTTCGCAATTCTTGTAAATATTTGAAAACATGAACAGAAGTTGCAATAGTTGCGGGAAAAGCATTTAGCTCAACTATCACTTTTATGCTTTTTAAAATATCCAACAAAATAATGATCTGGATATGTAAATTTATAATAGATATTTGCAGGATAGACTGAGATTTAATATTTGCAGGATAGATTAAAAATTTGTATGTGAAAACCGGTTTTGCTTCAAACCTTGCTACAGATTTCAGTGGGACCCATTATGTTTCATCCGATCAAGCATTTTTCATAAAATGGAATGTTTAATGTTCCATGTGTTCGTTAAAGTGATCTAAAATTCCTAATCACTCGGACTAGCTACTATCTTTACACTGGGAGAGTTTTCAGTTGCTCAAGCAGTGAAGGTTACTCCAAGTGCAACGCAATACCCTTAAAGGATCCCTCAAAGGGAATTCCCAAAGGGTTAGAAAAGTAGCAGGAAACTATAACAGTGAAACAGTAAACTGCGGCACTATTTTCCCTGCTTCTATCGATTCAAAGCGTTGGCATAAACGCACCCCCGACATGTTAGGGTTGACTTCAAAACGTGAATTTATATCGTTAAACAAGCTCGACTCAGTGATTGAGAAAACAATTTTATAATACAATAGTATAACAATCCTGAACAATATTCTACGCATCTTGAAGGGTAATAAATGCCTTATGCAAGTGAAGAATCAACATTCTTACACCTTCAATCATAAAAATGCTTAAAGTTGCGCAGCAGTATAGATGGTTAATTAGTTCGGGCTGAACAAGGCAAAAAATTGGGTCTAAATCATAAAATAACTGCAATTAAACCAATTAAAGCAAGTTTTTATAAGAAGACCGTAAAATTCTATGATTTCTGAAAATTACAACTGAAACCTAAAGCCCATAGAAAATAGTTAAGTGAAACAAGATCGGTTGATATTTGGGGCGTTTCTAATTTTACTTTATTTTTTTAGCAAATTTGCTTTATGTTGCGATATTCCTATAAGTAGCGAATTACTCAGAAGGTTGTTGAAACGCTGATTAGAAACACATAAACTCTGCCTTACTCGCTTTGGATGATTTTTCACCTTCCCACACTGCCACCCTACTGGAAAACTCACAAGTCAATTGAATCGAAATTTTGATTAACAAAGTTTAGAAAATTAAATAAGTTTGTATCGAGAACGTCAACCAATTAACTTGATTTATTAAAAGTTTGTACATTTTTGCCTCTTGAAGTTTAATTAGAAATTCCATCCATAAACTCTCCTGCTCAAAGAGTTAACTTTTCTGTACCCAATATTTTATAATTATTTCTGATCATGGAAACTGTACATTAATATGTACGACAAGCAGCCGAATAATTATTCAATCACTGTTCGGGTCGGGCTTAAATTCGAACCCCATTATAGGGCCAATTTAAATCCATCCCCTTTGTTCAGAAATGCCTCGTTTATTTCCGCACGACCCTTATGCAGGAGGGGCAAACTTGTTTCGTCATCCCAAACAGGAAAGCAGAAAATAGATGTAAGTCTCATGACCTAAATTGGGTTTTCATGGGCTGAAAGGGCACTTGTGGACAATGATATATGAATATCCAAGTGTCCTTAATTAATTGGGTTCATTTCAATTAGCCAGACGTGGTTTAATTTGATTTTCAACATGACCTGTTAAAGAGAGCCTTGCCTTCAGGAAACCCTCGCTAAGTAGATAATGAGATGGAAATGTAAATATCTGTTAAAAAGATTAAAATGTAATTATATTTTGAATTATATGGTGTGGTGTTGGAACATTTTATAGAGGAAGAAAAGCTGCTGTTGGAAAGTAAATCAGACAAATAGTTTAATCTATCTAATTTATCATGGGGATTTATCAGCACTCTCGGCGCGTTTTCCAACCTCCAACCAAGAAATTGTGAACGTGGAAAAATTGCAAAATATATTCCGCATAAAAAGCTTAATTTTTGAAAGCAGCGAAAGGTGCAGATAAGCAAGCATCTGTTTAATTAGTTTAATATGTTTGTAAATTAATAATCGTTTTTTCCGGAATAATATTTGTTTGCTTACTTGAGAACCATCCCTTCAAATTGCGCCTATGTATGAAAACAATTATATATTTTATAAGGTTATATTGTTGTCATAATATGCAATATTTAATGCAAAAAATAAATAAAAAGTGATTTAAATACAGTATGAAAAACAGATCATGTAGTGTTCGATAGCACACAATTAAGAAAATTATAATTTGTTGAGACGTCAGAGTTTTCATTTTCATTAACAAATTAATTTTGATTAAATTTTGTAATGTAATTAATATTTACAAATTAAATTTGCTGTAAAACCTTCCCAGCTTCAACTTCGTCGATTTGATGTTGATATTTGAATTAATCGGAAATTAAATTATTGAGTTTATCAGCTTCAATTTATATCTTACAGAAATCTACCAGCTATTTAAAACTTCTCGCCTTCAATACAAAAAAATTGTAATTAAATTTCTAATATACACAAGAAGTTTGGTTGGTCTTTCAAATTAAAAAAAATATTTAGCTTCAAATTGCATTTAATTATAATGATATGTGTGTGTTTTATCTCAGAATTTACTTGCTCACTGTAGCCAATTTTCACAACTGGACCAAAAATTATTCTAATTTTAAATAAATAAAAAGATTTACGTGTTTGGTGACACCATACTAAATATATTTAAATTAATAAGTTTTTACATATTAATAACACTCAATACTGAAATATATTATTTCCATGTTATGTTCAAACAACAAGCGTGTAAATTATGCCATCAAGAGGCAAAGAGTCCTATTGTTTGTTTTAATAAATTCTAGTTTGCTTATTTTATTTCGATACTATCTACAGGAAATACACTTAGAAGATGAAACTGAGCCGTTATTGATATTATTTTGCCATGCAAATTTTAAACCTGGAAAATTTTAACTGCTTAATTAGACGCCCTACTATGCACGGTAACGTTCATCGTTATTTCATTTACTAGAATAATTCCTCGCTGATTTAAACATAATGTATATTCAGTAGATAAATACCTTAAGCCTGAAATTTTAAAAGATATATTATTACTAAATAAAATTAACATCGCTAGAACAAGGAAAAATTGCCGATTTTTTTTAAATTTTCACGGTTTCTTATAGAGTCAAATATAAATGTTCTTTCTCAAGAATTTATGATTTCCTGCTGAAAGACGCTTCCGAATTTTGCCCCTCCTGCAAAACGAACATGAGCTCTATAACTCCACTCTCAACAACCAACTTCAACCGTAAAAACTCCCTCAAATTTCTGTTTCCTTTATATTGGAGCCTCTTTTGGCACCCTTAGCTGCACTTCTGAGCTATACACGGTCCTTTGAGTACGAAATGCTACGTTTCCAGGCTGTTGTAATGAAAGCAGGCGATCTTGCCATTTCTGATATTCTGATAGCACTTGTGCCGTTCCTCCACCTTGTCCTCAAACTTGAGGCTCTATACAATTTCGAACTTCCCTCAAAATATTAAACGCGACCCCAATATAAAGGGTTACACCCCACTCTTGCTAGTTTCCTGATAAATGTAGCTGAGCAGCGCTGCTTGACTCTAAGGCATAGCGCGCTGGATTGACAAAAGATCGCTGTTCTGGTATGATTTTCCAGGATAAAACTGGAGTAGATCAAATTTGACTCATTAATTTTTTAATGAAAAGGAAGGATTTTTGTACATGTTGTTCTCGTGCGCTCTACGAGCTAATAAGTGACTTTCAAAAGTACATTTCTCGGATTTGCTACTAATACTTTCCTTCATTTATTTCGATTTAGAAATTCGAGAAAGTTTCTTGTAGCTGTAGTAAGCTGGGTCTTGATAAAATTATATGCAATCCTTTGTTTCTAAAACTGAAAGAGAAATGGCAATATCAGGCCCGCATAAATGGAAAACTGTATGTGGGCAACGGAGAAATTATTTTCCTTTCACTGTTAAGGGTGAACGAAGATACAGTAAAGGGCTGTGCAACCCCGGAACTTGCTATGGGACATTGTTAGGCAAATTCACGAAAACATCGAGTAAAAGGAACACATAGAGTTTGGGGTGTTTCCAACGCTGCATGTAGATATTAGAGACTTTCTTTTCATTATTTATCTGTCGCTGACCCACATTTTTTAACTGACGCTCAAGTGGCGAAGCTTTAGTAATCCTCAGTGAGTTTTGCATTTTTTGCACATTTATTGCACTATTGGAAACCTGCCTGCAGTAAACTGAATTGTAGCTGACTAATCCAGGCTGGCGCTCTAACATTATGTGCCATTTATGTTCTCCTATTCCTAGAAGCTGAGTTAGAGCTATCTGAACTTTCGAGACCATTTATTAGACATACCGAAGGTTTGCTCTAAAATCGACTTTTTATTGGTAATTCGTTGTTGAAGGGTGTATGTGTTTTAAGCTATGAATTTTCAGTTGATTGACTGATTTCTTATAAATGTTCACAAAGTGATTCGAAATAATTGGGCCAGTTACAGGATTTTTGCAGTGTTTTAAATAGTGTTTCTATATGGTTAGGAAGATTTAGTTCTAATAATCAAACAGTGTAATTGTTGAGTAGAGCTGAATCAAAATCTATTTCATTAAAGAACGCGTGCATAACAATAATTTTACCCTTAGCTGGTGAGCCCTTACTATATATAAATAGTTGCTGGGCTCTAAGATCCTACAAAACATGGAGGAATCTTTATAGTATCAGGAAACCATAAATCTCCGGCAGAACTGAAGCTATGTAGCTCTATAATAGGGACGTACTGACTCTCTGAAGGAATATGGAGCAATTTCGGACAGCTCTATGAAAATATCAGGTAGTCGGAGAGCAGAAGTGCTGCAAACATTATAGAGCAATATTCGGCTCAGTTCTATAGCTTGCTTTGATATATCCAAACATGTCGCACATACGGCTGAGTATTTCGAACTTCGAATTTCAATGGTTGGTGAACACGTGAAAGGTTTGAAAATGAACGTCCAAACTTGACCCTAAGGTCAAAGTTTGCCAGGTAAGGTAAAATCTTGAAAACAGAGCGAACAGGATAGCATGGAGCAACCGTGAATATTGCGTGGGAAATAAAACCAGAGAAGCTGTTTAGCTATGTGAATGAATTATTAGCGCAATCATTCAAAAGCAGGCTACTGAAATAATCGACCTGCTAAAAATAATCCGGCTGTAGGCCGAGTATTACTTCATTTCCACATTTTTATGTGTAACCTGAAGTCAGAACGATGTTATAAATAACCGGGGATTTGCTTCGAAAATAGCTATCCAAATCACCGCAATTGTGAAACATCGTTTGACGTTAACCGTTTTAAGATGTGCGGATCTGTTTCGTAGATTTTACATCATTCCGAGGAATAGAGCATTTGAGCATGGATTTATCGACGAGCTAAAACCGTTTTTGCTTTACATGCCTTTCCCGGTTAGGGCCTCAAAATTGGGGAGAAGTTATCCAGTTCCTGGAAATGGACATTTATGGATGCTTAGAGCGTTAAGCAAGCTTCATACATATTTTTTTACGATTTTCAGCTGGCTATGCGTAACTTATTTTAAGTCAAAAACAGCCTATGCTTAAGATTTTCATACCTGTAGGTTAAGGACTACAGAGTTCAGGTTACAGTCAAATCATTAAAAACCGAATTTTTTTAAGTGTTAAATTTGGAAAGTAAATGACTACCAAGGTTACCCATATAAGGTTCCGTTTTTCACCTGAATGGTGATGTAGATCTAGAAATAACACAAAACACTGATAGACACAATAACAGTTAGAGTAGGATTGATTGAAATACAGCAGGAAAGTCAGACAAAACGCACACAAAAAAACTTACAAAGAACAAGGAAAAATATGGCGTATCCAGGAGCACCACTTAACTCAAGGAGCCCGCAGTGACTGCTAACGAAATTCCTGAAAACCCCACAGGAAAACGGACCTTAGCAGGAACGGCGCACGCAACTGAAATGGAAATCCTCCCACGGTTTCGAGTTATTTTGGAAATCGCAGATTTTTCGGGTGGCAGGGAGTTACGTTACTTATGCGAGAAACGATACGCGGTACATTTTTGGCCACAGATTTGACCTGTTTGGAATATCTCAACTGCTCTAAATTTTGTTTCAGGAATCGATGTGTTTATATTGTTTTTAAATATAACGCAGATTTCATCCTTAATATGCCTATAATATGTCATAGTCGGAGAACTACTAACTAAGTTACTGCAGCTAAAGTTAACTAAAATTATCAGCAAATAGCTAATATTCGGCGGAGTGTTTTTGGGAAAAAGTTTTCCAAATCCGGTTTGCTTAATTTATTTACACAGGGTGATCCGAAAATAAATTACGACCACCAACTTAATGCTGGTTTTCAAAATAGTGAAGTTTAACGGAACGAGAAAATATTTAAATTCCTTGATTTGATGGATATGGCGATAGAACTCATATCCAAATAGAAGCAGCTCAATTATTTAATAAAATACACCGAGACCGTCCCCTTATAAGGAGGTGATTAAAATAAAAGCTAAATTCAGAGAATTTGGTTATGTAAGCTTTTTATGAACTATTGAGATAAACTGGTTTAAAAATATAAGGTTTTTTTTGAAAAACGGGACAAAGATAACTTGAGTAATTAGAGAAAATACGAATTAATTATACTCGGCTTAGCCTCGGGCGTCAATTTTAAGCAGTGGCGGAACATCGACTTTCCTCGTCTCTTGTACCGTAATATACTGTTAAACTCTTTCTAGACGAAACTTTGCTAGTTTAAATGAGATTTTATGAATTTTTAAACATATGACACTTACTCCTGCAAAATCAACTAATTTTTAAAAATTTATTGCCTTATCCTCGATGATGGTAGCAAATCGAAACTTTGGCAATTCATGAAAGAGACTTTGCCTTTTACAATAAAATCCTTGAAAAAATTCTCGCTTAATTCTCACTGAAGATGCGAATTTTCAAACATAGAAGGACATTTTCACTCACGAGAAACTAACCAATTTGTGCAAGTTCCGTTAAAAAATCAGTGTGAAATTTCTGATGACGGTAGCGAATAGAAACTTTCAGGAAGTTTGAAGCGGATCTTGTACTCTCCAAAGAAACTTTCGGAACGTTTCTTGCTTAATTATTGCTTCAGAAACACATTTTTGAGACTTTTGTACCTAAAAAATTTTAAGAGCTTTAGTAAGCAAAAGGAAAAATGGTTCCGAAAATCCAAAACAAGATCCTTATCAATTATCAAAAAAGACATAAACAGAAAGAAACGAGAAAACGCAACACAAAAAGTGACTAAAATAAGAGATAGCGATGGTATAATGGTCGACAACCCGACGGAAATAGTAGCTGCTGCTGAAACTTTATTTTATGTTTTTTTTGTTTTTGTTCTATTTGTTTTCCGAAAAACGGCATTATTGTGGCTCCCTGGATTTTTTGAAGTATGAAATTTTTGAAATTCAATTGCATATTTCACTTAACAAAATATGAAGTCGCCTAAAATGAAGTTAAAATTATGTACACACGTGCGACGTTCAAGTTAACGTTAGATTTATTTACTAATTTTAGATTTAAAATAAATTTCATTCTCTGGATTTGTCAGAAAGTCACTTATAAGCTCCACTTTTCAACATGAATTCCTTTATTAAATTTTTGTTCAGAACCTTGAAGTTTATAAACTATTAGCGAATGGAAAATCGTTTTTACTTCACTTTGTTATAGATAAGCATGTTGGTATTAACTTTTCTGCAAAAGATACTGCCAATATCTACAAATGATTTTATATGAATTTAGTGGATCGTCAGTCAACTTTTCAGCTTTCATTTTCATAACTCTTCTCCTTTTAATGTTCGTTTAAAACTTTTATTTCGCATAATGAGTGCCTGCCTTCACTTCTTTTCTCAAAAATTCTCGTTTCTTACACATTTTAGTTGCATGCCTCTATATACGAAACGATTATTCATCATGCTATTACTCTGTTTGTTGACGTAAAATTAAATTTTATTTGACAAATGTGTTTCAAATAGGTTTCACTGAAATTCCGGCTAAAATATTCGATTCAAAGAACGTGAAATGTTCATCTTTTCTGTTTTGCTTACAATAACTTGATCTATTTACCGAATTGTCTGAATTTTGGCACTAGAAGCGACCGTGGGTTATTATTGAAAACGCCTCGGATAATTTCTATTCTATAAATATCTGAGCGCCTTGTTTTAAACTATTATAACATCGTTTAAACCATTTATATTCAGTAAATACTCAATAATTTAGTTTTATCATTTATTTAGGACTATTTAATACCATTTAAACAAATATTCAAAACAAAACGTCGGTTAAGGAAGCCTACTTCTTTTACTCTTTGTAGGTCCAGGGCCTATTTTTTCACCTCCTTTTCTTAATTCCTGTTTGAGAAATTGGTTGCAAATTTCGATTTGGTCTAGCCAACGAAAATAAATTGTCCTTCTATCTCAACACAATGTTCTCCTCAGAAGTTCAGTCTTTTATTGATTTCTGCAATGACGAATTTAATACCTACTAACTAGTTTAGCTTTGCCTAGTAGAATCCTTGGCAGCTTACAAAGCAGTCTTTTAAAAGTGAACTGTTCGGCTTAATCTATCGGTGGAGCTGCATTGTATATAAAGTGCAAACACGTGCAACGAGCTGATGCTAATCCTGCTCCTAAATGAACATTTTTGAGCAGTTAATGAGAAGCAAACACTATAATGAATTGGCTATTATTATAGGTTCATTTTCATGGTAGTCGGCAAATCCAATCAGAAAGTCTGGCACTTGCTTAAGTGGTATCTTCTTTGCCAAATGCTAAAATATGTTATCAAACATGTTAGTTTGGTGTAAGTAATTGCATAAAAATAACATTATACGTTGTACAGCAAGTATTTACAAACGATTTTTTTCCTACAGTTTTCACTTACTTTAATTTTCCTCCTGCATTTACAAGGCTTTTTTTTCTTTCGAAATTTTCGAACATGTTTCTTTTTTCGCACATTTTCATGTTGGTCTTCGCTAGCTTGAGGAATAACAGTCTCAAGCGTTTTGTTTAGAGTTAACATGTCTAGGCTGCCATTAGCGACATTTCTTTTCGTATCCTCATAGATTTTCATTTCTTCTTCTCCAAATGTTTTTCTTATAGCTTCACTTAAATATTACAATAGTTTAGTGAGATTTTGTTGCGAGTCAAAATAACTCGTCGAACTTTACAATTATTTTTTAGTTCGTCAATATTTAAATTCCCAGTTAGTTAGTTCATGTTTGGCAATTTTTTTTGTGAGTACTTCCATAACTCCACTGTTAGCAATCAATTCCAAAAACACAATACATAATTCAGAATTATAAAAACATTAAAACTTTAAATATTGAAACTAATAGACTGAAGTGCAAATATTTTATCTGCTGTAGAATGCGAGAAGGAATTTGGCAATAAATGAAAAGCTAAAGGGCTAACAAAAATGCCATCAATGGATACTGAAATTGTAACTATAGGCTAACAAAAATTTAATGAAATAAACTTTGGTTGCAAAAATATAGCATAATTACTAAACTAAACATAATTAAAATTTACAAATGTATTGTGTTAGTTATTTCTAAATAGAGACTTACTCTTTAGGCTCCTTGCAATAATTAAGGATTATGTATAGAATACTACACGGCACTTGACAACATTCATCAGCGATAACTTTTCGATTTTTCCGGTCCATTGGAACAACTAGAAAAAAATTACAAACCCAGATAAGTTTACTATGTCGACACCAAATTAATGCCGAATAATCTAGAACCATGCTTACGTCCAGAAATTTTACTTTTCCTGCTAAGTATTATTTTCTGAAATCTTCATATCAATTTGGAAAATGTGATTGTGATATTTTTGATGCCCTAGTCGGGACTTACAAAAAGAGTCGACATTTTTGGATTGTGGAATACTTACTTATTTCAGTCATAAATTATTACGTATTTTAATTACATACCATCCGCGGGTCCATAAAAAAATTGGCAAAAGTCGTGCAGTTGTTCAGTAAGTTTAGGACCACAAAATGTCCCAGGTGCTCTGAACGGCGAATTTGATTCCATGGATTGGCAATCACTGACTTCTAAATTTAGTACTATTTGTAAAGCAATAGTCGTCGCAAAAGTGCGAATTATCATGTTAGTAGTGATCCTAAAACCAACATTGTTCAAAAACTTTTTTCAGAAATTCAATTTTCTAATATTTTGAAGGCAAAGTAGTTTTCAGAAGCAGTTGAAAGTGGAATTTCTGAATGGAAAGGAATATTGATTAAAAACTAAAGTGGGTACTCGAAGTAGTTTTCATAATTTATTACATATTTCATTAACACTATTACAACAACCCTATGAGTAAAAATTGAAACTAAATTTCTGGATCTATTGTTTATAGGATGCCAGCCGCATTTACTTACTCATGTTTAAATTCAGAAATCACACAAAACATCTTTGTACATTTCAAGCCATATTTATACTAGAGTAAACTAACAGTTTTGCTCATATTTATACTTGGCCTTCCATTCAAATTTCCTATTAACTCCTAATCAACCATAACGTATCAAATAACAAAAAATCGTTTTCCATAATTCAAATTTTCTGACATTACAATAACCAAATTTATTTATAATCTGTTTAATTTTCCGGGTCGGTATCAGATTACCAACACCGGAAATTCTCAAATTATCCGATTTTCCGCTATCTTTCTACCCTCTTCCTTTGTACAATGCCTCAAAAGAAAATAAGCAAATCTCAAAGGGGAAAAAATCGTATTCTTTGTGGTTATTCACTTTTCGCCAGTGACTTATTACTTCTCCTTTTGTTGGCATTTAAAACGCATATTCAATTTTTTATTCGGTTTATCCAGGCATGTATTTCTCTTTAGCTAAAATGTACTCTTCCTAGCAAGAATACTTTGTAAGGAATATCATTTCCTTCATTAATCTCCAGCTAACGAATCGATCATTAGAAATGTACAGTAAGAATGAGTGTTCTGGAGGAAATTTCCTAAGGTTCAATGTTTTATTTCTTTTTTTGGCAAAACATTCAACTACGTGAAATTTTAAATTTTGCTGCGGTTTGCTATTATACAATGATGACACAAAAATAAGTTTACTATTACTTCATCCTTAACATGCAAACATCAATTTCATATTTATTTTTTTAATTCTAATAATGTCACATGATTGTTATGATTACAAACGGAAAATGCAACGGTCAGACAAAAATATATTACATAAATTATCCTGCAAGTTCAATGTTTAAAAAGTCATCAAGGTAATACGGCTCTATGTTAAAAACAATCCAAGCATTCGGCTCTTATATTTTGTTCATGATCTTTTCTCCTATTCTATGTTTATCGATTTAGAAGGGATGGCTTGAATATAACTTTTTAATAAAGCGAAAAATGTACCTTCTCCCATAAAGTGATTATTTTTTATGTTTTAAAAATTTAGCTAGTTGACAAAAACCACCATATTCTTTTGAACACGTTTAACCGCAACAAAATGTTATAACACATTATATTGCTGAAACGGCACTGTTGGCTGCAAACGCCGCAAATGTTTTCAGTTTGCCTTCTCTCTACTTTTATAACAGCGTAGGAAAACTCAGTTTTTCAAACTTTTCTCCAAATTATAATATTATTCAATTCAGATCTTTAGCTTTTTTACATTTTGTTGTAGTATTCTGAATACTTGGTTTTATAAGTGTTCCATAGGTTTTGAGTTTCATCGTCAGTAAATGTTTTGACCATTCTCGTTATCTTCTTCCCACAGTCTCATTGACTTGTACTCCCAGATTTTCTCTTATTTCGTTAACTTCTATTCTGCCCCTCGAGTTTTTCTAAAAAAAATTGTTGCGATAGATTGTATTTTTTCTGCCTTACTATTTAGTATTAAATAGTTTTACTATTTGGACTATTCGCCTTTTTTGCTATTTTCCTCATGCCTTTTTCAATTGTTGTTAATATGTGCTTGTTCAATTATTTCTCTATTAATGTTCACGTTTTCTTCAACGGTTTCATACCCGTTGCAGACTTCTCTGTGGTATATTATATTGATTCTGAGTTGAAGATTTGCATCAATTTTTGGGTTCCGTTGGAAAAAAAACCGAAATTTTCAATTCATTTCGTTTCGGAGAAAGTCGTCCTTGTAAAATTACAACAAGTTGAAATTTCCACATTCAAACATTCACTTTTTAACTCGTAATACTGTATTTCCTATTTGTTTCCACCATTCTAGATCTTTTTCATGTTTTATTGCTTTTGTTTATAAATAAAATTTCTTAATTAAAATTTTTATTGGTTCCTTTAATACGGTTTGTCATTCTTCTAGTATATATGTGGGTGTTCATTTTTCTCTCAACCTTTGCAATCAGTTCTTAATTTTTTAAATGTCTCTAGCTTCTCGATGATATTCGCCAACAGATACTACACACTTTTTTTGTTAAATCTTTACTTTCTGTCTCATGTTTCATTAGTAGGACATGTTTTCCGATTGCAATTTTTTATAGTTCATTTTTTATTTATCATTTCTATTGCTATTTTCTCGCAATCAGGTGAGGTGGCGTTTATTAGTTTTCGAATTGCTTCATCTAACGCGCTTATTTGTGTTGGTCGTATATCATTTTATATTTTTGTGTCTTATCTTCCAAGTAAAGGCTACCTTTCTCTTTAAAGTTCTTCAAAATATTATTTCTAACATTTTATTATGTTTCATATTTGATTATTCACTGTCGGAGAGTCTCATGTATATTATTTATTTGAATTTTGCTTAGTCTGATACTTCAACGATTCTTTGTTGATCATGTCTGCTTATTTTAATTTGCTCTATTTGCAGTAGGCTTTAGGGTTCGAATAATGAAATAGTTAAACATTTAGTGTGATTAGATAGATTTTGGGAGCATATTGAACAAAGTCGATCTTGTGGGAATCATATCAGAGCCGTCAGTATATTTGGATTCGACTCATAAAGTAGAGTTAATCGGAAAATGATATAATAATAGGCGCTCAATATCGAGAACTTTACCGGTTTACGTTCAAACGTTGGCTGGTCGGAGAAAAACCTTTTTATAAAAGTACAATAAGTCTCAGATAGGAAAACGATAAAAGTTAATTTGAAAAATTGAACACAGTACAGTTTGGAAGAAATTATCGGTTTTATTTATTGATGTGGTCAGTCGAAATTGTTTTGCCATCAGTTTGGATTAGATGTAGAATAAGCATATTCAGAAAACAAAATATGAGGAGAAAATAAAATAACATATGAGGACAGAAAATAGATTTGGAAGAAAAATTAAGTTGATGGTCGTTGATTAGAAAACCCAATTACAGAGGTAAACTGCGACATGACGAGCGGTTTTACACAAAGAAAACCTCTTAATTTCTAGTCATTTAAATGTCGCCGTTAAAACTTAACTAAAAATTAAAGTTTAAAAGTAAACATTTTTAAAATACTAATAGTAAACGGTGGTTAATCAGTTTAAAATAACAAATTAAAATTAAATGCCGAAACATTTTGGGTGAAGTCTGACAAAAGTATTCCCCGTCGTATCGTATAACAATGCGATTTATTTCCTTCCAATATTTCCTATATTCTTTGATTTGAGGAAGAACTCTACTTAGTTTCGCAACAGGCAAGCAATTTGATAAAGACTCCGATTCTTGTTACA